TGTTGATCACGGAATAAGGCAATTCTTCGCTGCTTTTCGTCTCAGGTTACTTTCCGATATTTTATCAGATTCCAAAGAGAGTTCTTGAAGGTGTAGTACGAATTGGCAGATACCAGCCAAGGGAGCGTGTTGTAGAGAAGAAAGTATTCGATACCGTAAGAGTAGGAGGGACGGAAGAACCCGGGAATAAAAAATAAAGCATTTGCCGTTGATCAATCCCTTTTTGGGATGCGGCACGCATTCTACTTCCATTTGTACATTCGTAGTGGCGTTTGAATGCGATGTGGCCTATACAATGACTTGCGGGGGCCAGCCGATGTACAAGTCAGTGTTTTTATCCTCCCAGACAAGTCTGGTACCAATTAACCGACCCCGGAGGGATGGAAGGCTTGGTTGGCCCGGGCGACTCACGACCCAGGATTTGATCCCCGGACCGCTCGCGTGGTAAGCGTGCCACTTGCCACTACACCACTTCCGCCAAAGTGCAGGGCTTGACCCAGCAATTTTTGCAGCAATGAGGTATTAAAGGCAGCGATTACGATAAAGAGGGAGCGCATCGGGGAAGCATATGCACCACACGAATCAGTTACTTGGCTGCCAGGGAAGCGAGGTGTAGCGCTTTCACGACGAAAGGTGCGCTGGTTGCTGAGCAGGACTTCGAAAGCACTCCGCCCCCAAAAGCGATCCGCCCACTAGTTTAGTTGGTGATTTGGACGAGCTGCGTTGCCAGCAGCGGCACAACTGGAGCAACTCGATTGGAGCGTGGTTTGGCATGGTGCCACCAAACGCGTTGCGTGAACTCGTTCATACGTCCGCTTTCTGAGCTGTTACCTGTTCATGAGTGAAAACCAACGGCCAAAAAGGGGTCCCGTTTTGCGTTTTCTTGACGGATTTCTTTTTTCGCCACTGGCGTACCATTGAGCACCACCACGTCTCTTGAACCCTTCTTGAATCTATCGTAATCGCTGCCTTTAATTGGCCATAATACTCCTGACTACTTTGCTTCTACTACTGGTTTAGGATCCATTTCCAGTTTGCTTCCTTAGCAATGGTCGGACTTCATGTTTTCCGAGCTGCGATAGTAAGCCATCGGATCACTGTCTTCTCCGATTGAAAACTGCTCACAGAGTTGCTCTGCACCAAGGAAAACATAAGGAACAGGAATGCTGATAGGGTTTTTTGGGGTTTGGCGGGGGTGCGATAATGTACAAAGCAGAATCTTACACACTTGCATTGAGGGTTTCACTTATATCAACATAGAAAAAACCTTGCGAATTGAGTTGAAGACTCTTTAGTTCCATAGCTGAAATATGCTTTAATGTCAGGCTGTTCATGTTTCGTTAGAAAGTATCAGCCATGAGGTATAAGATGTGGATGGACGAAGGTAACTTAGCAGTGGCGCCAAGACACCCTCTTCCATCGCTTCCATCGTCTACCACTTGATAACTTTGTTCTAGATTGAAACTAATTAGTTATATCAGAGCCTACCGGAATTGATAGCAGACATAGACTAACAATAAGATAGATGGCTTTAAGAAGCTCAAGTCTCGAGTAAGACCGCTCCAGAACCGTAAACAATAGTTTGAAGGTTCAAGAAATGATTCCCCACAGTTCTTCCTGTATGACAGTGAATAACTTCCCATCTCGTTTACGTGATTTACACCGAGTGTGACATTTTGAAATGGGGTACCCCCCAGGAGGCCTGTCGCGCGGCAAGAAGGCAGAGTCGCGGACGAGTCGCAGCGCGTGAGCGATGTAAGACGTACAATGGAACATTCTATTTAACTTGACGCGAAATCCCTACAGTACGCGCGGAACTCGTCCGCTGACTCGCCTTCTTGTCGCGCGACGGGCCTCCTGGGTACCTTATGAAATGTGACTATATCGCACTAGTTTTATTTATATAAATACGCATCCCTCACATCATTTTGCTGGCATCGGTTTTCAGCGTAACCGTTGGGTACGTTTAATTGGCGTGATTAACTAGTTTAATTGGCGTGATTAACTATTCTTACCTGATAACATCTTGTTGCGCACATCTCCACAGAGTCCACCTGCATCTCGATTTCGAATTTAGCTTGGAATTCGGGAGGTCGTTCGGAGAATGGCCTAGCTTGGAATTTGATCGCACAGCCTGCAATATTCACGGTCTTATGGGGCATATTATTATAAAAAATTACACCAATCAGCCTACCTTTCTGGAAATGAGAAGTGTTCTCTCCCCGAGTGCGATTTCTCAATACCACCGCCGGCTCACCGATTTCTCGAGGTACTCCAGTGGTTGACCCACCTCCACTCGTACTGGTGATCGTTGGGGGAGTAGTTTGAGCACCGACCGCCTCTGTGACCTCTCCTTCCTTCTGTTCGGCAAACTCTGACATGTCAGAATCTTTCAGTCTGTCTGAAATTCATACAGTGTGATTCTTCCTCATCAAAATATAAATATGATATCGTCAAACAAGTAAACGTACAGCAGTTGACGCAGTGAATCCACGTGGTGTTTTTCGCCTCGTAGTGAAGTACAACGGGACCTCTGCTACAGAATGGCTTATCGTTGTATGACAACGAGCACTTCTTGTCAGAAGGCTCATATTTCGCGGCGGAGCAACCGTCCTGAAATATAGTTTTTTCAAAGAATTCTCTTTAAGCTGTGAAATATTTACGTTGTGATTGATTCACTGCTGGAGCGTAATAGTCTTATGAAGATAATACGTTATTGGTTCATCATGGAGCAGACAACAACCACTCAGATCCAGAATCATATAAGAAGGCTCCCCGTTAATCTCCTCCTCGACTTTGTGCTACCAAATTCGCGGGAAAAAATATTGGGCCCCCAACCAATTGTTCGTCCTTGCCTTTACACACTGCTTGAGTGAAGAAAAAAGGTATTTTGAATTGTCAGTACATATAGATTGAATTACCTTAAAGCCGATTTCCGCGTGAAAATGCGGCCCATTGGAAATTAAGTTAGGGATGGTAAGTGACCGAGAGAAGAAAACCAAGGACAATATTTTGAAACCCGAAATGGGACCCCTTCTTTGGCCTTGATTTGCTCTGTTAGATAGGGCTCTCATCGGTGCTGCCCTCTTCAGGAATAAAGCTATCATTGCTTAAAGGTAAACACTCAGACCCAAGAAGGCGCAAAAAAGGCGTACCGCGCCCATCGCGCCAATTTTGCCGCGGCGAAGGCCACGCTAGACCGCAGTGGACATATCTTTCTATACGAATAGCGTGTCGGGCCGCACCCATAGGAGGTTCGCCTGTCTCTCCACTAGGAAAACTATCTCTTTCCCCTTCTTCGACCTTGTCCTTATCGTGGAATCCTCCTTCAACCAGGAGGCAACAACTGCCTGCCTAGTAATATGAGGCACAAAATTATGCTGATTAGTCCGCCCATTATGATGAACTCGAAAGAAATCGTTGAAAACTTCTAGAACGTTGGTTTAGCGACCGATTTTGAATAGGTCCGAAATAAACGCGGAGTGACAGGGGCGCGGCTAATATGCATTAGGGTGAACGGTTACTGTTAGGGTGAACTCAAAGGTGCACTCAAATCAGTTTGTCTGTTTTGACGTGAAAAAAGGATGAAAAGTGAACAACTCAGGTTGAACGCTCCTGGAACCCTCTATAGGATTAACTTCTAATATACAGTTACACTGCTACTCTCTATCCTGCTATATGTGTGGTGAAATGCCTAAATCCACATTCTTCCTGTCCGTCCGTCACTCCGTCTGGTGGCTCTTCATAAAACTCGATTTTACCAAAGGAATTAGGAGGGGCCGTTCAAGTATGGATTGAGTGGTAAGTGGGTCGAGATGTGGAAGCCGTACTAAGAATAAATAAAACCCATACTCTAGAAAAAATGAGAAGAAGAATAAAACTTAGGCACGTCACTTGTTAGGTCACATATGAAAAAAATTAAGGGCAAATGAAAAGATGATCCACGTGAAGATCATCTATATTTTTTTGGAAACGAGCCTTGCATTCGCAGTCCTAATGGCTTCTAAATGTGAGTTGGGGGTCTATTCCAGTTAGGGGGGCATCATGATGCAGTTTCTCGGCGAGCTAATGTAAACTCGAACATTCCAGCTTCTCACGCATGTCAAGTGACTGCCCTCACCCCCCACCCCCCTAGGCTGGCTACACTCCCCCTGGCTCAGAGTTACCGTAGCTTTTGGGAGTCACCGCACCTTGATGCCCCCCTAACTGGAATAGACCTGAGTTGGTCTTTTGACGCCCACCTTCGCCCTCATAAATAATGGTGAGTTCCCACGAGCAATCACTTCCCGCGTAATTTAAAGCTACGATGCGCCAAGTTACCCACCACCCTCACTGGCGTATCCAGAATTAGATGACCACAGTCAACCACACTTTAGTGACTTGGCTTCTCTCTTCCTCAGTTTCATCCCTGCATACGTCAACACTAGGGACGCAGTACGGTACCATCCTTGGCTTATTCTTGTGGATCAAATTCACTCCCCACAAATCACATGGTGGGGGTTAATGAGTTTTTGTGGAACGTTGTCTTCACAACCGAAATCTACGATTAACATGTGTTCAACTTCTCTGTCTTCAGAAAAGAAGTAACATCGTAAAATATCTATCATAAGCAAGAGAAGTGCTGCATAGATCAGCCATTCTTTTACAAAATGGATCATTTTATCAAAATCAACTAGCACGAGCTGTAAGGGTCGAAATGAGCATAGAAAGAAACTTGGTGGAACTGTTGGTGGAACTTTATGAAGCGAACTCTCATCTAACGCCCTTGATAACGCTGATAACACAACGAGTGGCGCATAATAATCGTGGATCCACAAGAAGTTCGAGTTCAAACGGAGCGGTGAATTCCTTTGGTCGTTCCTCGAATGGACTGGCTTGGAACTTGATGAGACAACCTGAAGAGAAATGTCAAGGTATGTTTCCATGAAAGGTCAAGAACTCTTACAACGCAATGATTTGCAGCACCATTGAATGGTGACCGGAGCACACCATGCTCTATGTCAACCGCAGAGATTTCTCCTAAAAAGAGAGCAGTACTTTTAGTACTGCGCACACTTCTGTCGCAAAAGTTAACACTTATTTGCAGTAGAAACATGGGGGCATGTAATATAGAGTGGCACAGCATCCTAGATCAATCATAACAGCTCAGCTCATGATTTGGAAGCAACAACACACAGTGAAGCCGCGTCGAATGTCCGCGTCTACGTAGTGAGCGGTCAAAAAGTGCATCGCCAAAAACGATTTTTCCTGTATCGGCTCTATTTCTTTTGCAGAAAGAAATCGGTGGTGACCCCAGAATTTGTTCGGAATAGCCTGATTCTATAGGACTCGAAGGCTTAAAAACACTAGAACCTATAGTATATCAATCTCTGGAGGGCGTTGCTCAAGCGAGAAAAAAGTAATGCACTAAATCGTTTCGGCGAACATTTTTGACCGCAAAATATCTCGGTTTTGTGCCGTTGTCGCCCCTCTAAAGTGCGCGAGAGTGGCGCTAGGGCCTTAGAAATGAGCTAATGGACGAGATACCTCGGGCACACTCCGTGAATTACGACGCAGCGGCTGATTCAAATATGCGCGGGGTTAGTAGAGCCATGGAGCAAAACAATCAGACAAACTCGTCCGCACATATCCCTTCCCCTCTCAGCCCTTTTTTTCAATATGAAAAGAGGGAGGTCTGTTGAAGTTTCAACGAAACGTTTTTCTAGAGCGAAATTCTCTTACATTTGCATTTCATACTCTTTTAATCACTTTACACCAGTGGTGCATATGGCGGTAGGGGTGGAATTGCGTTCACAGCCAGGCCCAAGCAGTATCTTCAAACTTATACGAATTGGCTCTCATATTGAGAGGCCTGTTTCGACTGAACAAATGTCAGAAGAATGTGAAGCAAGACAGATCGTACCTCGTTGGAATTCAGTGGGTGAAGCAGTTTTAGGAGGAGCGCCTCCTTCTTCCTTCTGTGACTTGGTTGTTGTTGAGCTTGGTTCGGAACCAATCGATGTAGATGTCTGATCGGTTGTTCCTGATGATGTAGTAGTTTCGATCATGCTTTCCTGAGTGGTTGGAGTGGATGCCTCCGATGCGATGGAAACAGTAGTCCCAGCTATGCCTTTCTGAAGAAGCCGAAGTAGTGGTCTCAGCGCTGGTTCCTGTAGCTTTTGTTGGAGCCTCGGCAGTTGACGGAACAGAAGGCTCTTCGTCAGTATCCTTCAGCGTATCTAAAAATAGAGCTGGTTGATTGATGAAGCGGGAGAAATGGAGAAAGTTCTGGACTTTCTCAACAAATTTAGTAAAACTAAACTGACCAAGTGTCTAGTATGACTTTAAGCAGTTCACTACAGTGTCCCACATCAGCTCCGTCGGCTTATGTAGTGTCCGTCGGCCTTGTAGTGCAAAATCACATCTCGCCTGGCACAGAACTGTTTGTCATTATAAGAAAGAGCACAAGAGCCGGCTTTCGGGTCGTACTTCGCACCGCTGCATCCGTCCTGTAAAGCGCCATAAAAATGATCTTGGTCTATGGCTCATAGGATCTCACTGCGGCGAATCTGAACACAGAGTCAACCGTCCCGTTGGAAGCAACGCCAACGAGGGGGGGGGGGTCGTATTTCAAAAGGTCGGAGCAGCGTCGCTCTACACAACGGGAGAGTTGTAGTGTGACGCTTCACGCTTTATGAGGTGTAAGAAAAAAAAAAAATTGCCGTTTCACTGTTGATTATACCCCTCCACCCCATCGACGGTTATCTTGGAGGGAATGTGGGGGTAGAGTTGGACTGTGGGCGGGGGTCGGGTCGAGGCTCCAAGTATCAGGGTGGGGGTGCGATAGAATTGTTGACCCTTGTCCAATGCGGGCGGCGGTTTGACTACTTGTCTGATTTTTAGTCTCTAAAATTTGAAGATCTTTCGTCGTTCTCTCCTCAATTCTGCCACCTTTCTACCTGGTAGGCATCAGAGTGGTCGACCAAAGCTCGCACGAACCACAGGCACTTCGATTTCAAATGGAGCGTTGAACTCTGGAGGCCGCTCCGAGAACGGGCTTGCTTGGAACTTGATTAGGCAATCTGAAAGGGTGCGTTTTAGGCTGGAAGACATTCAAGTCATAGCAGGGATTCACAGGAGGTTAAAATCGGTCTCACTGACTCTGCAAGATACCCCCATGTTTTACTTCAAGGCAGTGAGCACGGAGCGGTAGGATGTGCCCAGCGGAAGAAGAAATCCTCAGCACAGAAGCTGATGAGGGGTAGAGTTCAGGTTTGAAGGTCGCGGCATTATTGGTGAATGTAAGTTATAAGGAAGTGAAGTTCACTCTGCAAGCGAGGTCCTGCCTCCTGCTTCCCACTCTACGCGATGAACGCGACGCGCTTTTTGACGCGTTTCGATTAGTCTTTGGCTTGCCTGCCGATTCTCTTCTCTAACTTCTTCGATCGTCTTGCCTGGCTTATTCGCCACCCATGTGCACGACAATTTCCCCTTCGCGTCCTGTGAGCTTACATTACCGGACCCACTGTCTGGAGCCTGAGCAATAACAGCTCCTATTCGCGAGCGCTTTTCACGTTTGTGTCGTCGTGCGCTGTCCCCGAAAAGGCATAGACCGGGGCCCTCCATTGTGCTGCTGCCGCCCACCTTGCAGAGTAGAAGATGTGGATGGGTCTCGCAACTGCCTGCACTTGAGGGTTAGCAAGTGGTGCGTGGGAAGGAGAAAGATAGAGGGAAGACGTGTTCAAGTGAGAAGAGTCACAGGTTGCATACTCTGCGCGGATCAAACAGTGATGATTAGGCGGAGAAACCCTGACTTCGGTGGATCATTAAGAAAGATGCCTGCGATGTGCAGTTGCGCTCGGCAGCCGACAGACGAGCCACCGTATCCAATCAAAATCGCTCGTCTAACGTATGCGCGCTATGTGAAACTACCGATGGTGTCTCTGAATAAGACCAGTCTATCTCGAACAACTATCTTCTCCGTGTGTGTCCCTCTTCTTTTTAATGGCTTCTCAGAAGCATACGGTGTCATCAACTATTTCAGGACTCTCATAAGCATACCGGCGCTCAACTATCCAATGCGAAATCCTCGAAGTTGCAGCTAATGAAAAGTCAGAAATGTATATTCTACGTGTACACCATCGCCTAAATGGTAAGAGAATTTGAGATCAGTAAGTCTCGAAGCGGGACGGCATTCTACTCACACTGCTTCAGCCTGGTGTGGAAATCGCTGCCAGGCCAAGTCTAATCTCGGCAGTACAATATGCGTGAAGCCAGCTCACGTTGTGTAACTACGCCTTCGAGGACCGGTGATCCAGGTAGGCACCATTGTAATGGTCCGTTAATGGGAATGGAACGGTGCAGTAATCAAAGCTAAGCGGGGCCTATGGGCAGTTCCAGGCTCAGGGAGTCAAATTTATGCATGCTGATGCTCTCACTTCAACGTTAGGGGGAGAGAGCGGCGAAGCGAACCACAACAGTGGAGAAAAAAAGGAATAACTATCGCATTTTTCCGAGTGATGCGTTGCCAACTTTTAATAGTTGTAGACCTACACGCTCATTCATGATGTGACCTCTTAATGAGCGCCTAATCCGACCTTGCTTTGAGGGCTCTGTGTCACACCCAGCTCACGTGTAGTCGTTGGGGAAATCGGTTAAATGTCGGCGAATTTTCATTTCCTTTCTTCGAACAACCTTTTACTGTAGAGGGAGGAACGGTATCAAGCCTCTTTCCCGGCTATCCCGCCTCGTTATATGTCCATAGTAGACTGCTGATGTTTTGGACTGTTTCTATTCGCTCAAGCTCAACGAGGCGTTAACTGTTGGCATAGAGGGATTCCATTAATGTGGAATAGACCCGCTTCCGATACCACGTGACGTGCACAGGATCAGAGGCAACATTTGCATGTCGGTTTCGGTGAAATGCTACCTTTACCTACTTCTCCTTGATCGTCTTTTTGGAAAAGTCATTAATAGTTGTGGTGATCTGCATTTTTTTCGTTTTCAGACGAAATTGTGATTGCTTGTATTCTTACTCCCGCTATGCCTCTGGGATTTCCGTTTTGCCTTCTGGCGGGGACTTCAGTAATAGCTTTACGCAGCATAGTTTGGGTAGCAACAACTTCTCGCAATACGTCGTTTCACCGTTGCCGTGCTGTTTGATCCAGAAACAGTTACTACACTTACAAGGGAACTCTGAGAGAACCCAACCAAGTGAGATGTACATCATAATATCCGACTGGAGGCTTCCGGTTCGGAAGTGTTTTTCCTATCTTTACGACTCTATAGGTGCAGCTATGAAAGCCTTTTGCTCGCGATATTTGCATGGTATCCTTACCGAAGGAAGCTGGTAAAGTAATGTAGTAAGGAATCTTTACCTTCTACCTGGGAATTCGGCCACTGGATTTTGCTGTTGATTGGAACGTTGCCATTCCTAAACGCTTTCGTGTGCACGGCTTAATCAAAAGGGTACACGTCTCATTTCAATGTGGAGTTCACCTATTGACCCTCCCTTTTGAAGAGATGCCTGCGTCGTTCGAAGCCTTTCTAATTACCCTCGGTAATTATGGACGAACTAGTCTCTTATGAGTACTGCGCAGTCGTAAATATCAACAGCGTACATGTGCACGTCTACCCGTTTATAATGACTCGCCTAGTCATGCAGGAGACAGAAAACTATTTGAAATAGCCAACCTCAACCGTATATGGAAACTTTCCACGCCCTCGGGACTGCTTTTTTCGATAAAATATTGTAAGGGAGGAAAAAAGCGCTTTGGTGGGTACTGCGAAAGTCAGATGCTCTCCAACGCTATCTTTGGAATTCACGAAAAGCAAAGCAGAAGCAAAATTCGACCTCATAGGGCTCCTCGGGCAAGAAAATAACGAGCTTCAGAATAGTAAATTACCCAGGACAAACTTACTTTTCCTAGCAGCGGGCGTGACGTCGCCGTTCTCTGCGCCGACAACGGCAGACGATTCCGTGGTTGATGTCTCTACGACCTGATGAGTAGTACCGCTGGTAGTTGTCGGCGGCGGAGTCTGGTCCTCGTGGGCACTAATATGCGCGCGATCTTCTTGGTGCGATATCTCCACAGGTTCCGTCGTCGCAGCACTTGCCTGAGCTAACTCCTTTTCGAAGTGTCTAGGTGAGCCTAAAAACAGCGCATTCATTCTCTGCAAAAGATACATGTCCGCTGTGCAGTGCGCACCAATCCAGATGACGGCAGGGTTAGTCGAATAAGTTTAAGAAGCATGCGGTTATGGGCGTGCAGATGAGAGCAGATTGTGGGCTGAGCTCCGTGCTGAAAAAGGTACTTACTGCAACGGAAACATTGTATTTTGACATCTTCTTGCTTAAGATATCGTATGGTTGCATCAGCGTTCGAGCAGGTGTCTTTGTAATCCGCTCCTAGCAGACACTCGCCTCTTCGAGGTGAGTATACCGCAGCAGCACAACGTCCTCGGAAGCAGATTCGCGCACAGTCGTTCACGCTGCGACGTGAATCAATTTAACACATGAGGAACGTAATATTTTGCTAGTTACTATATACTATTGTTAACGCACTGACAACAGCGTGATTCGATACCGTATCACACTTCAGAGCCGCGTGGGACAGCGTGGTCCCAATGAGGGCCACACCCTTGCAAACCATTTCTTTCGCAGATGTTTTTATATGCTTCTTTTAAATAGCCCACTACTTTCGTTTCAAGTACATTTCACTTTCATGCTCCAAAGCGAGTCTTTTGGGACAGCGTGACCCAATATCGGGTCACGGCGACGGCGGTCACGAAATCGCGCCCCTCTCATGGGGTCCGGGAAGCAGAATTGCGCGCTGTTGTCAATGTGTTATAAAAAACTCAATCAAAGATAGAAAAACAAAAATGCGGCATGAATGAAAAGGATGATTGCAGGGCGGAGTACCGCTCACCTTTTCACTTTCTCCACTTCATAATGATTAAAATGCAAAGTGTCAGCTTCCTCATCTAATTGGAAGTTTATAATGCATGCTGAAACACATGAATTGACGAAGTAACCAAATGAACCATGGACAAGCTTTACATACGGTTAATCGCCTACAAACACAAAATATGTACTACATATCATGCAGGTAGTAATATTGTTAGGTAGAAAACCATAAACGAACCGAACGATGATGGCGATCAAACCTCTCGGTAATGTGGAAGCTTTCGCCTGTTCTTGTGTGTGAGATCGGTATTGTAGAGAACGTCTTGAAGGCGCCAAATTGAGCTGCATAAGTGTTACGAGTGCAGCTTTTGTAGAAAGGCAAGAGTTCGTTAGTTGTACGGGTGGTTGATATATTTTTCTCGCGTTCCTGCTTCTCTTATCTATCCTCTTTGAATTGACTACTGAGAGAACTGACGGGAGAAATGTAACAGGTAATAAGGGGGTGGATGTCTTGAAGTTTCCACGACGGACACCCAACCACAAACTGACTCGATGAATCATAAATTTTAAAGGCATGCCCCAGGATCATATTGGCGTGGCTCTTGTACACGAATGCGAATGTATTGGTGGGAAGTGGGGCGGCAGTAAAGGAAAAAGGAAAAGAATCCGTCAAACCTTAGGTTAAGGGTGTCTACTCATCTTCTGTCTATTCTTTTCTAGGTGGAGAATAGAAATAAGGTGCGGAGAGCGAGATCATGGGGCGAGAGAGCGTACAGTTATGGTACAGATCCGCCAGACAACAGCCTGATAAGAAAAAAAAGTCTGCAGCTTGGGCAGCTTACTTTGCAAGGCCAAGCGCTCTTATCGGTTGGTTTCCGTGCACGAGAACGCCACATTTGTGATTGTCCTCTAGGGTTCTATACTACAGACCGAAGAGAAGCGTTCACACGACCTCTGCCTGGGTTGTGCCTTTAAAGTTAAAGTTTTTTTCGAGTAATTTTGAGCTCAATGGTTCCTTTCTCTTGCAAAATGCAGTAGGTCTAACATTCCTACAGCTTCCCAGCCTTCATCAACGGTTCTATTTGTAATAGCAGATGCGGGGCGGGGACCTAATATGAACCAGTATGTGCTACTTCTACTTGGCAATCGAAAAGAAGGAAGAAGGAATTGTCGAGAGCAATTGAAATGAATATCGTCTGTTTCTGGGCAATGGGTGAGTCTGTGCCGAGAGACGGTCAATTCAATCGTCGGCTAATGAGGTCACGCCGCTCACGCGGCGAGCATCGTCGCGCGCGGCAGTTGGTGCGGCGATTTCTGTATGGACCTTTGGCTTTGACCATCCATGTCCATAAGTTGCGGCTGGCTAGATAACTGATAAGACTGAAGTGCTAGACATCAGTGACCCAACAAGCGTTACCTTATAATCGTCCAATGAGACCTTGCGAGAGAAAGTATGAAATACGCAGCGGAGCGGTACGAGAGATCGGCCCAAGGGACGAAAGGGCGCAAAGCGAGATGCGGATTTCGCAAGGTACGCAGGAGTGGGTGCTCGGGGTATCCATGGTTGAGTCTCAAGCCCTTAGTTCTTTGGCAGGCATTTTGAGTTCTAAAGGTTTCAAAAAGCGTTCCCAGTCAGAGAAACCTCATATTAGTGGGAGTAATCGACACTACTGATTGATCGCCTAGATTTGCCTCCGAAATTAGCTACATTTTCATGCAGGATCAACTTATCTAAAATAATTCAGAGTCAAATTATTCGCTGCTGCCATTCGCACCAGTGAAGCTCAGAAGCTTCATGTTCTCGTGAGTTTAAAGTCTTCTTCACCAGGATTGCTAGCGAAACCTAGCTTCACACCATGCCTGCAGTACTTTTTGACTCACTCGCAGTAGCTGCCAAAAAAGAGCGACAGATCGAGGGCACGGCTCCAAAAGATCACAGTGCTTGAG